GGTCTAGATTAGATGACAAGGGCATACCTGTTAGTAAAAAATCCATTGCAAGGAGCTTAGCATTAGAGGGTATTGATGAGGAGGAGGAAGAAGACAAAGGAAATTCTGAGATTTCTAAGCGTGATACAAGGAAAAGAACAAAGAGCCATCGAAGTCTATCGGTAAAAAAAGAACAAGATCAAGGTCTAGATTAGATGACAAGGGCATACCTGTTAGTAAAAAATCCATTGCAAGGAGCTTAGCATTAGAGGGTATTGATGAGGAGGAGGAAGAAGACAAAGGAAATTCTGAGATTTCTAAGCGTGATACAAGGAAAAGAACAAAGAGCCATCGAAGTCTATCGGTAAAAAAAGAACAAGATCAAGGTCTAGATTAGATGACAAGGGCATACCTGTTAGTAAAAAATCCATTGCAAGGAGCTTAGCATTAGAGGGTATTGATGAGGAGGAGGAAGAAGACAAAGGAAATTCTGAGATTTCTAAGCGTGATACAAGGAAAAGAACAAAGAGCCATCGAAGTCTATCGGTAAAAAAAGAACAAGATCAAGGTCTAGATTAGATGACAAGGGCATACCTGTTAGTAAAAAATCCATTGCAAGGAGCTTAGCATTAGAGGGTATTGATGAGGAGGAGGAAGAAGACAAAGGAAATTCTGAGATTTCTAAGCGTGATACAAGGAAAAGAACAAAGAGCCATCGAAGTCTATCGGTAAAAAAAGAACAAGATCAAGGTCTAGATTAGATGACAAGGGCATACCTGTTAGTAAAAAATCCATTGCAAGGAGCTTAGCATTAGAGGGTATTGATGAGGAGGAGGAAGAAGACAAAGGAAATTCTGAGATTTCTAAGCGTGATACAAGGAAAAGAACAAAGAGCCATCGAAGTCTATCGGTAAAAAAAGAACAAGATCAAGGTCTAGATTAGATGACAAGGGCATACCTGTTAGTAAAAAATCCATTGCAAGGAGCTTAGCATTAGAGGGTATTGATGAGGAGGAGGAAGAAGACAAAGGAAATTCTGAGATTTCTAAGCGTGATACAAGGAAAAGAACAAAGAGCCATCGAAGTCTATCGGTAAAAAAAGAACAAGATCAAGGTCTAGATTAGATGACAAGGGCATACATGTTAGTAAAAAATCCATTGCAAGGAGCTTAGCATTAGAGGGTATTGATGAGGAGGAGGAAGAAGACAAAGGAAATTCTGAGATTTCTAAGCGTGATACAAGGAAAAGAACAAAGAGCCATCGAAGTCTATCGGTAAAAAAAGAACAAGATCAAGGTCTAGATTAGATGACAAGGGCATACCTGTTAGTAAAAAATCCATTGCAAGGAGCTTAGCATTAGAGGGTATTGATGAGGAGGAGGAAGAAGACAAAGGAAATTCTGAGATTTCTAAGCGTGATACAAGGAAAAGAACAAAGAGCCATCGAAGTCTATCGGTAAAAAAAGAACAAGATCAAGGTCTAGATTAGATGACAAGGGCATACCTGTTAGTAAAAAATCCATTGCAAGGAGCTTAGCATTAGAGGGTATTGATGAGGAGGAGGAAGAAGACAAAGGAAATTCTGAGATTTCTAAGCGTGATACAAGGAAAAGAACAAAGAGCCATCGAAGTCTATCGGTAAAAAAAGAACAAGATCAAGGTCTAGATTAGATGACAAGGGCATACCTGTTAGTAAAAAATCCATTGCAAGGAGCTTAGCATTAGAGGGTATTGATGAGGAGGAGGAAGAAGACAAAGGAAATTCTGAGATTTCTAAGCGTGATACAAGGAAAAGAACAAAGAGCCATCGAAGTCTATCGGTAAAAAAAGAACAAGATCAAGGTCTAGATTAGATGACAAGGGCATACCTGTTAGTAAAAAATCCATTGCAAGGAGCTTAGCATTAGAGGGTATTGATGAGGAGGAGGAAGAAGACAAAGGAAATTCTGAGATTTCTAAGCGTGATACAAGGAAAAGAACAAAGAGCCATCGAAGTCTATCGGTAAAAAAAGAACAAGATCAAGGTCTAGATTAGATGACAAGGGCATACCTGTTAGTAAAAAATCCATTGCAAGGAGCTTAGCATTAGAGGGTATTGATGAGGAGGAGGAAGAAGACAAAGGAAATTCTGAGATTTCTAAGCGTGATACAAGGAAAAGAACAAAGAGCCATCGAAGTCTATCGGTAAAAAAAGAACAAGATCAAGGTCTAGATTAGATGACAAGGGCATACCTGTTAGTAAAAAATCCATTGCAAGGAGCTTAGCATTAGAGGGTATTGATGAGGAGGAGGAAGAAGACAAAGGAAATTCTGAGATTTCTAAGCGTGATACAAGGAAAAGAACAAAGAGCCATCGAAGTCTATCGGTAAAAAAAGAACAAGATCAAGGTCTAGATTAGATGACAAGGGCATACCTGTTAGTAAAAAATCCATTGCAAGGAGCTTAGCATTAGAGGGTATTGATGAGGAGGAGGAAGAAGACAAAGGAAATTCTGAGATTTCTAAGCGTGATACAAGGAAAAGAACAAAGAGCCATCGAAGTCTATCGGTAAAAAAAGAACAAGATCAAGGTCTAGATTAGATGANCGAGGGCCTGTGTTGTGAGGATACTATGGGATCGGGTTGCGCGCCGCAGCAGTGTTATACTGGTACCGATATGAGGCCGAGGGCCTGGATTCGATGCCACGAGATGGCTTGATATTTGCGCTTGGGCCGTAAGGGGCCCCTCCCGGAGTCTGCACACCCCCAGTGAGCGTCGTCGACGAAATATATGGATCAGGCCGCACGCCGCAGCGATATATGTATCGGGCTGCACGCCGCAGCGGTTACTATATGATACTGATCTATGTGTTTACTTTGCTTCATTTGCCTACCATTATCTGTTGTCTGTGTTACTTCACGTGGTATCTACCCGATTGTCTGCCATTATCTGTTGAGAGAGTGTTGTGCCGAGGGGCGAATTTTTGTGCTTATCTGCACTATTTGTTTTGCATTCATTTGCATAACTGTTAAAAAAAGCCATTTCCAAAAGAGTCTTAAACTGAGCTAAGGCATTTTTTCTAAGATTTTACAGCTTCATTGTTTTTCTCAAAAGGTTTTACACTGCTTTGTACAGCATGATGGTTTGCCTTACGTGATTTCTTACTGCTCAGTTATTATTTACTTTTATTACTCACTGAGTTGGAGTACTCACTTTACTCCCTACACCTCGCGTGCAGATGCAGGTATTTATACACCCGGTAGCGGGTTTTGAGCTGATCAGAGGCAGAGTTATCGGAGTTTAGCGAGGTGACTGCCGGCGTTCGCAGCACCGCTTTTCTCCCTTTTGTTCTTTAGACCTGTTATGTATATTTCAGACCTCGTAGTTGTATTCATACTCTAATAGATGCTCGTGACTTGTGACACCCCGATTTGGGCTGTGTTTGGGTTGTATTCCGCACTTAATAAAGAAATCTCTGTTTAGACTGCGGTTATTTAATTATGTTAAGACTGTGAATCAATATTTAACTATTCTGAAAAGGCGAAATGGGTTGGTTGGCTGGCCTTGTCTTCACGAGAGGCGCCATCACGACCAGATCGGGGTTTGGGTCGTGACAAAAATACTTGAAAATTAAACATAATATGCAGAGACTAGAAAAAATTTGAAAAACTTATAAAAACAAATTACACAACGATTACAATATTACAACATAAAACTAATAACAGAGTAACAAAATTACCAGAAATAAGATGAACTAATAAACACAGAAAAATCATAAAAGTTAAAATACAACAAATATTTAAACCCTAACGATACGGAAATCAAAATTAAACCTAAACAACCAACAATAATAACGAAAATTCAAACACATTATCGTAAAAAACAAAACTCACCCATAATTTTAAATAAAATTGGACCTAACCCAAACAAGATTCGAAGAAAAGTGCTCTCTCAGGAAAGCGAAATCCGTTCACTTCTGTAAAAACAAAGAGAAAGGCGATAAAAAGTAACTAAACAGTATGTTAAAAAGGTCAAGGGCAATTATGTTATTTACTAAAAATTTTTAAGTTAAAATGGCTAGAAATCGATTACATTTAATTCGGTGGCTATTTTTCGATAGCCAACCGTAAAACTGGCTACGCCGTACAATTTTAACGGCAAATTCTGCACAAAACTTACTGAAAAGCCAATGTCTGCAGCCCATATTTATTGGTCTGTGACATATATAGTTGGACACTTGGAACAATTTGCCTGATTATTGCAATATCATAAGTGTGCACTTCCCTATAACAATAGCAGGCAAAGAAACCAATAAAGAAAAAGAAATCTCCTGCTTTTTCAAAATAAACCACAACAGTATAATTGTCTACTATTAGAAAAAGTGAAATGAAAGATATTATCTAAAGTATAACTATAACTGTAGATTAATGTGTACGAAAAGTAACTACATACGAGATTTTCTCTAAGCGAACTCAAACCTAGAAAACTACTACTCCTTTTATGTGTTATTGCTCTTTCATACATGTACACATACATACTATGTTTTGTATGTAGAACGGAATTGTCAAGAAGACCTCAAAACATAAGTTGGTTAAGTTACCTCTTATTTTCTTTCTCAAATTTTTTTTGGGTTGGAAAATGACTAAATGGGTGGATTAAGGTGGATAAGGCCTTTTTAACATTTCCAGAACTTGGTGGGTCACCTATAAGGTTTGAAAAATAATCTTTTTTCTTATTTTTCTGTCAATTTCTCTCTCATCTCTCTACACTCTCTACTCTCTCTTCTCTCTCTCACCCAACCTCCTCGACCATGGTGGTTTCCGGCGGGAAGGGACAAGAATCAAGTTTCTATTTTAGGTGGAATCGTCTCTATAGACCCGACAAGCTCTGTATTGTTGCTTAGAATGTGTCAATTTTGGTAAATCCTAAATTTCTTTTCTGTTTCTTACATTTGTGATTTCGGGTTTTGTAGAGTGATTCGTTCATGTGCATGTTCAAGATTGATTGGGTTGTGTATAACCATATATTATATGGCGTGTGTGGTTATATTTGCTTCTTTACCTCTGTGCTTTGTATTTTAGAATGTCGTCAGATTGGCGACCTAATGTTTATTGATAAACCTGTGGTTGATTGTCTTGTGGTCATAAATGTTTGCTGGAACTGGGGCTTATTTTTCTTATTCTGATAATAAATTTCAAATTATTAAATGTGACATTGATATTTGCATGAGTTAATGTGAGGAGAAATCAATTGCTAAGAAGCAAAGCATATTCCTTCGGCAAAGAAGGCAATTGCATAGCCTTCAAAGCCTCCAAACTGGAAAGGAAATGTAGAAACACAAGAAGCATCGCCAAGTAAAGAAAATGCCGAACCTTCAAAAACTGCTACCAGGAAACGAAATTTAGATACATCGAAAGCTTCCCCTAGTAAAGGAAATTCTGAGATTTCTAAGCGTGATACAAGGAAAAGAACAAAGAGCCATCGAAGTCTATCGGTAAAAAAAGAACAAGATCAAGGGAGCCGTTTTTTTCTTGACTCGAAATGGGAGCAGGTTTGAAAAAGGATCTTAGAGTGTCTAGGGTTGGGCCAGGAGGGTCTCTTAACGCCTTCTTTTTTCTTCTCATCGGAGTTATTTCACAAAGACTTGCCAGGGTAAGGAAGAAGGGGGGAACAAGCACACTTGGAGAGCGCAGTACAACGGAGAGTTGTATGCTGCGTTCGGGAAGGATGAATCGCTCCCGAAAAGGAATCTATTGATTCTCTCCCAATTGGTTGGACCGTAGGTGCGATGATTTACTTCACGGGCGAGGTCTCTGGTTCAAGTCCAGGATGGCCCAGCTGCGCCAGGGAAAAGAATAGAAGAAGCATCTGACTACTTCATGCATGCTCCACTTGGCTCGGGGGGATATAGCTCAGTTGGTAGAGCTCCGCTCTTGCAATT